GAACCGTGGTTAGTCCAGTGATGGTCGATTTTTTTTACACGTCCTATTACAACTTATTCGCTCTTCCCATGATATCGTGGATTTCGGTTAGTGTTCTTATTTCTTCTAACTGTTTCCGCCACACGTATTCCCTGTTGCGATACGTGGTTTGTACTTTTTGAGTAGCTTTCAGGCTTAGGGCCCGCGTTTCGTACACATAGCTTAGCACTTGGAGCACGTACTGGTCAGAAACTTTTTTCTTCAAGCACAAAGGGGTTTCTTGTGTAGGGACATCTTCAATCTTCCAAAGGTTCTGTAATGCGTTTCTGCTGTTTCTCATTGATTTTGTACAGTTGACTAGAGTTGGCTTTCTGTCTATTGCAGCAACAGTCTGCTGCAAGCAGAGGTAATTCGCACTTCTTCAACACCTTGTTGAGTCACGAACTTAGTAAACACCAGCTAAGATTTCGCCGATAGTTTGGTAGGCATTTACCGTACACTTTGCTTGCTGATCCACGGGATTCACTGTAATGCCATCTATTTGAGGGACTCGTCCTCTCTTCAGCAGTTTTACTGCATGTCGCACTGCTCTCGGTAAGATACTTGAACTGTCGTCCATTTCATTTGTTCCATCAGACTCCAGTTCGTCACCTAAAGCTTGGCAATCTTAATCGTGTTACGGTTTTCTGCCAAAATCTGCTTTATTCAGGATTCTGCGCCCGTTTCTGACGACAGTTCTGTCTTCTGATCTGATGGCTGAGTCATTTGTCTCCTTTGCTGTTAGTTTCAATACTTTGCTTTTGCAAACTGTCCTTGAAGAACCGAACGATGTTTTAAATAAGGCTTGAGGATTTTGATCCGGGACTCGTAATTAGATAGACATGTGAGGTGGTTGAACGATTCACGGTTCATGGCACCAAACGTGGCATGATCAGAACTGGGCACCAATACCTGCCTGAAATCAGTTATATGCAACAAGTGAATATCGCCGTTGTTTCCCGATTGGCACATACTTAATCAAAGCACTGTTAAACTTCTTGTCCAAAATGTTGCCGAAAAACGTAATGCAATCGGACGATCGTTATGTTGACCCGATTTTGTGTATCATATTCGTCATTGCACCCCAACTTTCACTAATAGCCACGGAAGGTGCGTATTCATTGCGCTTCCGGTATTTCCTAGCCAGAATGTACAGGGACTCCTTTATTAACAGATCTACTGAATGATCATTTGGTGTCACACAATCCTGTCGTATAAGACGATAGTGCACATGCTTGAATCTTTGCATCTCTAGCTATTAGTTTTGCTTAGTAAATTTAGTAAGTAAATTTCGCTCGGTGTCCATTGTCCTGATGTACGGTATCGTTCAGACGATTTCTCAGTCAAAGAATTGTTTGTCCGTTACTTTGCTGCTGATTCCACCCCCGGTCACCCGTACTGTGCGCTACACATTACCACTCTGGACTGAAAAGAAACTTAGTTTCAGTCCACACCGGCATCAAATACACTGGTCGTTTGCTGGCTTTCCCGACCTGACTGACGAATTGAAATTCGAACGCTCTGCGGCTACGGACTTGAATCTCGCGGACGCCTTTCGAACTGCTCCGGTGACGGAGTGAAAGGACAGCAAATGAAGGAAATGGCGAGGTTTTCATGGTAGTAGGACAGTAATGGTACAACTTAGACTGAGTGGTTCGTTCGTGCGTTGGTGGTCATACGGAAAACAGTACAAAATATGGTCTATTTACAAACAACGCAGATCTGGTCACTCATATAACTGACCATGGGTCATGCTGTGTTGGACAGCACGCAGATTCCGGCCTCGCCCTTTCGTTATTGGGTCACGAGTGCTCGTACTGTGAATGGAGCATTCGACTGCTTAGCCGTTTACTGATTCTTGCTGCTTCTTGGGTTTGATCTGACCGGTACATGTCAGACGATGCAAACTGGCGCAGGACGTTGTCGACAGGTGCTACTGCAGTTCAACCTTGGAAATATTCCGTGAAATTGCGCCAGGGCTGATGGGCAGGTTGGCAGTACGGAACGACGACGTACAGCAAAGCGGGCAAAGTGCTCGTGAGGTCGATGATATAGTATGGATTTATTCCTCGCACAGGGCGGAAAGAATTTACCTCACAACAAGAGCAGCTGGACGACAGGCTTCATAAATCTTTGCCTTGTTTAATTTTTGAGCCCTTTACGGTGACGTGACAGTTGTTTAAATTTCGTCGATAAATCCGCTTGAATTCACCGCCGTCTGTGTTTACGTAATCTGTCATGCGATTGGCTTTCGGTTTCTTTTGCTGAGAATCTAATTACTACCGACCGTCGCGCGTTCACCTCGGCGCTCGGCCGCGCCACAGCCGGTATAGGAGGCTTTGCAGGTTCGGCTTGAACGTGCACGCCTTGGTCGTCACCGAAAAGTGTCGGCTTACTGGCTTAAACATGGCCATTTAAGAATGGGCCAGATTTTTTCGGATAATTGCAGCTAATGAGTAGCGATACGTCTGCGACGTACAGGCGAACTCGACATGTCTCTGAAACTGCACGAAGGCGGTTGCCATTAGGCGGAGACTTGCGTTGGCGAAAGGCGATCGTGTTCGGTTTCGGTTGAGTTTGCATCGGTCGGCACCGCTGTCGAAACTGGGACATACCTGGAAGGGATAGAGCTTGCATGATTTGCTTTGTCGACCAGCATTTGAGAGTGACATTGACTGCGTCGGTCAGGACGTTTCCTCAATCCCTCATTCGTGTATGACTGCCTCTGCCCTGTTATTCTGGCCTGAAATCGTCCCATGTTCTTCATCGTCACCGGACGATCACTGCGCGGTCTTAATGCGATCGCGTCGATACCACTCGGCGATAGAGGACACCCAGAGGGGGAGGTGGTCATTTGGCGAACCACATGTTCATGCCTATCGCGTTCACC